TTTACCCATGTAACAAGCCCAGGGCAAGGACTCTCACTGGGGCTTGAAGTGGGATGGGAGTGGGGTTAGTACAGTTTAAAGAAACCCCAAGAGGGGCTGGGGATTTAGCTCAGCGGCAAAGCGCCTGCCTGGCAAGCACAAGGTCGTGAGTTCGGTTCCCGGTACCGGAGAAAAACAAAACAAAACAAACAAACAAACAAACAAAAAAACCCCAAGAATTACTACTAGTCTTATTGCCTCTGTGTTAGCCCAGAACTATATTTGGAATGAATATCTTATCTGGAAAGATAAATTCATTAAACTTTAATCTGGTAGCATTAAATTAGCAAAATTCCAAGGAATAATATACCCAGAATCATTCTCACATCATATACAATGGTTCCCATATCCCATCTCACTATTACAATACCCAGCACTTTTATTTATAGTTCCGTCCCTGAAGACCTGGGTGAGTCTCTGTCTGGGTTCCCTTTCTTTCAAACATAGTCATGATAATGATCTGGCACAAGGTCCAGGCCAGGCTTCAGCTGCCGACAAATATGTCATCATCCATGGCACGCTGCCGTAGGTGAGGACTCTTCCGCCTACTCTCTGTCATATCAGCTTGCTTCCTGCCAACATCCAAAAAGATTCTACCCCAAAGATGCTGAGGAATCTAATACTGCCAGTAATAGAGGCCGCCCTGAGTGTGTCCTTTTCCTGGCCAAGGTGTCACTTTAACAGACTGTCAGACTTCCCATCACGAGGGATGGGCCCATTATGGACTTGGAAGGCTACTGTCATTGCAGACTGCAGCCTCCTCCCGCCAAGCTCACACATGGTGCTCCGAGAGGTGCCAAATGTGGGGAAGTCTGGGCACCTTCCTAATGGGCACAAGCGCTAACGTCCCCGTCTCCAGCAGAGGCAGAAGGTGCCATCCAGACACATCATTCTTTCAGGGCCCATTTGGTGCTAAATAAAAACTCTCCCTCTAGTTATAAAGTTGACTCAGAATCCCTGTTCATACTGCTAAATCTTTACACATCTGTGCTCCTGTCGCCTTCATCAAAAGTGGCCCCGAGGACACATTCTTTAACACTTTATTCCAGTCAGGATCCAGGCAATTAGATCTTAAAGAAGCAGTCTGACATCAAGTCCAGAAAGTTAATTACTAACGTAATTATCAAAACCTTCTATTTTTCAGCATTAAGTCAAGCATCTCTGTGGGAAGGATGTCTTTTTGGTTTGTTCTCCAGTTGACGTGTAATTAGCTCACAAGCGCAATGCATTTTTCTTTTTACTTTTTAAAACCAAACATAAATATCTAAATATTTATTTTGGCTATAAAATACTTCCTAGCTGGGTGTGGTGGCGCACGCCTGTAATCCCAGCACTTGGGAGGCTGAGACAGGAGGATCGCTGTAAGTTCGAGGCCAGCCTAAGCTACAAAGTGAGTTCAAGGCCAGCCTGAACTACATAATGAAAACCTGTCTCAAAAAGGCAAACAAAACAAAACAAAACAAATTACCCTTCCTCAAGTCCCAGAATTCACCCAGAGATTTAGCGGTCTACCACAGAGCTACATCACCAACCATCACCTATCACAAACTGATTCAACTCATTTCTAAACTCAGGTTTGTCTTACAAATTACTTTTTCAAAAACACAATATACACTATGCTACTTTTTCCACTATGAAATGTTTTGGGCTTTTAATATCTTATGACTTCCTCTCATTGCTTTTGGTAGATTATTCCTTCTTGAAGCCGTCTTGTATTTAGCTTTTGTGGGAGTTGCTTATGAACTCAGAAGAGTATTAACCTCCATGTCTTGGACCCAAGGCTATTGCAAAAGAGGCCATTTTTCTACTTGTCCAAAGGCAGAATTCAAAGACTAGAAACATACTTACAATTCAGATGCAGTATCAGGGAGTATTATGCTATGGACTAAAAGTTACAGCTTTGTAAAGAAATGAGTTGCCATCAAGAGTCAAATCTATGATGAGCTACTGCTGAGAAAGGGAACACTGAGTAAGTTACTAGCCTTGCATGCATGGCCTAAATGATGGATAATCTTAAAACTTGTCTAACATGGACTTCTGGACTCCCAGGCCATGTGGCTGACACATGAAATGTCTAACTTCTTACTCCATCTTCAGCAGTTTAAAAATACATTTTTATAGCCAGCCGTAGTGGCACGTGTCTGTAATCCCAGTACTGAGAGGCTGAAACAAAATGACTGCAAGTTCAAGTACAGATGAGGTAATTTAGCATGACTCTGTCTCAAAATTTAAAAAAAAAAAAAATCTTAGAAAGAGTTGGGTCGGGGGAGCTGGGCATGTAGCTCAGTGTGAAGGCCCTGGGTTTAATCCCCTATTCCCTGGCAGGGGAAAAAATCCCTTTTATTGCTATAGTTTGCCTGGAATTTCATAGATTTGAATGTGCCAATTTAGGCTCTTACTCCTTTTTCTAACTGCAATTTAAGAATGAACAGTCATGCTTCCAGCCTGCCTTGAATTAGCTCCCATCAATTTTACCCACCACCAAGTTCTTACACCTTTGATGGCAACTAATTAAGCTCATGTGGTGTTTTTTCCCCCCAGACTGTCTTTTGCTGCTCTGGAACAGAGCACATCAAATTAGTCCCATCTGTCTCAACAGAAAGGAGGATATTTATCCCTCCGACAGGCAGGCTTCTTTTCCTACCTTGAAGGGGCATTCAGAGGTTCCTGAACACCATGGGGGTGATTCTGGTAGCCCCAACTCTTAGACCAGCTAGAAGTCTGTGAAGAGCAGGTTAGTGTTGTATCAACAGTCATCTACCAATTCACAGCCCTCATTTCTGTGTACCATGAAACGTCCAGGAAAACCAAAAAGGATTAATGTCCCAGGTCAAAACGGCAACACTTCAAAATGAAGGGCTCATGGTGCAGCTCAGTGACAGAGCCCAGGTCTACCACGTGCACAGCCATGGGTTGAATCCCTAGCATGACAAAAAAAAAAAAAAGTAAAGAAAAAACTAAAGTACAATGGTTCAACTGTTCTGTGACTATTTTTCATTTAGCTATATCCCAAAAGTAGAGCCTCTTTATTTTAGCAAAGCATGGGAGTCTTCTCACACATGAAGTTATTTTCTTAAAAAGAAATATCCCCACCATTCACAAAGAGCAGAGGACAAAGTCAGGGGGGAACCATTCCCTGGTAACGATGACACCCATGCTGGCCTGAGCCAAGGTCTGGGAGGATGGCTCTCTGCCCCCAACGGACACGTCTTAGCCTCACCCAACCCTATTAAGCTAATGCCAATCCCTACAGACTACAAAATCGGTGACCAAGAAGGAAAGCAAGAATTACTATTTGGCAGTCATAATGTCACTTTCTACCCAGGGATCTTTACCTAGGCTGGGCTGAAGAAAGAAATTAACGGACACGAGAACTTGAAGTGCACACTTAAGTGGAAATAGACCGTGTTCACGCACAGAGTGTACATTAGTGCCCAAGCACTGGTTGTGCCCCTTCTAAAACAGAACTCTTTTATACAACATAAAAAGAATTATGTTTCTAATTAATTCTGAATCTCTGTTCCCACCCTAAGTAGATTTATAGAAAAATGTATGGGTAAGTAAACTTTCAATTAAATCAGTGCTTTTTAAACTTTTTGTTTTTTTTTTTTGTCTTTTTGAGACAGGGTCTCGCTATGCAGTTCAGGCTGGTCTTGAACTCACTTTGTAGCCCAGGCAGGCCTCAAACTCGAAACGATACTCCTGCCTCAGCCTTCCGAGTGCTAGGATTACAGGCATGTGCCACCACACCTGGCTAAACTTTTTTCAAAGGCAGAAAGGTGCTGTAAACAAGTCCATATAGCCCCCATCAAAGAAGAGGGTCCTAGAGGGAGCTCTCTGGAAGAGATATGGAGGGTAGAGACTTCTTTTCCTCTTTCCCGTCTCAGGAGCGGGGTCAGGTGGTCAGCACACACAACAACACAATTTGAAAAGCATGGAATTGCCAACCCAGTGCCAGTGCCTGTAATCCCAGTTTCTAATCCCTGCTACTCAGGAGACTAAACCAGGAGGATCACAACTGCAAGCAGAGTCAGGCTGGGCAACTTAGTGAGACTATACTTCAAAATTTAAAATGGTTGGGGATATAGTTCACTGGTAGAGCAGCTGCCTAGTATGTATGAGGTTCTGGATCCAAGCAGCACAGAACTAAAAAGACTCTAGTAGGTAGCAAGTTTAAAGTCATAAATGTCAAATTTCAGTAAGACATTTCACAGCATGGAACTACATGCATATGTATGGACTGTATACAGAACTCCAGTGCTATTTCTTCTCTACCCCACACAATACCAAATGTTCCACTAGTTATACCTGCAGAGATCTTTACAAAGCAGCCTAATGACTTTCAATATCCCTAAGTGAGAGAGGAACATAGGTGACTGCAAAGAGATTTCAACATCCCAGAAGATAACTACCATAAAGTATTGAGTAAAAACCAAGATACAGGTTTTTAACATATGCAAGAAGACTGCAGTGCAAATTTTTAATGTCCAGAAAAACACTGTAAGAAAACCTCTAAAATACTCACATGGTTTTTGCTACGCAAGACATTACAGGTGATCTTTTGATTCTGTAAATTATTTGTCTTTCAAAAATAAAAAAGCAAAGAGGAAAAAAAGACACATGGAGGGGAAGGAAGAAAATCTTGCACAGGCACCCTTTGAGCTTATGAGTCCATAGTAAAACTACTTTCCCCTTAAGTTAAGAATTAAATAAATAAAAATCTATTGTCTTAGTGACTGCAGAGATTCGGCCCTATTACCCCAGCCAACATGCAGTGTATTAAATAACCACAAGATAACTGCATTAGTCTTTTGGGGGTCTTATTTTTTCCACCACCCGGAAGTACAGATGGAAGCTCCGGGCACAGTGGGGCTGTCAGAAGGGCCAGGAGGCTGCTGGATCACAGCAGGAGTAGGAGCTGTGCTCCTTAGCAGAAGCGTATTCCCGGAGCCGCCACTCACCACATCAAGGTCCTGTGAAACCCGCCGTTTCCGCAGCTCCTCCATCCTCTCGCACACGTCTGAGAAGCAGGTGTTGTAATAATCTGCGTACTGCTGCGCCAGGTCATCAATGTTTCCCAGGGAACCGTCCTGAGAGAAGGTGAGAAAGAAGGAAGAGAAAGAACAAAGGAGGTCAGCTCAGTCCGCTTCAGAAAAGCCTCACGGCTATCGGGTCATCCTCTGGACGCATCTGTAATAATAACGGCTGATATGTATTACCCTGTGGCCCTGTGCCAGGCTGGATTTTACAAGGGAGACCTAATCCCCTGGGCAGCCCCAGGACAGGACCTGTTCTTTCTCTCACTGTACTGGTGGACAAACAGAAGCTCAATGAAGTTGAGTGACTGATGTCAGATGCCAAAGATAACAAGCAAAGAACTTAGATCTCCTAGCAGGCCTGCCTGGTGCCAAAGCTGTGGCCACTGTTCCACGTCCGCCTGCCCCACAGGGCAGAGGAAGGGGTGGTTGGGATGTGCCTCCAGCAGGCACCCAGAGTCACAGGTGCCCTGAAGCCCAAGCCCGGCCATGGCTGCATCACAGGTCCCATTGCGGGGCGCTTACCGAGAAAGACAGACGCCAGTCTCCTCTCAGAAACCGGAGCATCCTGAGAACGTGGGGTGCCGTGGGGAATGCTGCTTCTGGACCATACTTTTTACCCTCCCAGAGACCCTCAGAAAAGTAGAAAACCTTATTCATCAGTCATCAGTGTCCAATCCTATGCTTATTCATTCTTGCAGCCATTCATACTCTAGTTATTCAGAGGGCTTCTAACACATTCCCAGTACAAGTGGTCACAAATTTCCCTAAATAAACATGTCGTTTGTCTCCAGCCCAGGTAGTAGTCCCTGAGCCAAAAGCGCCTACACCCAGCTCTGAGGCCTCACAATGGCCCCAGGCTCATTTTTCAGCCTCAGTCAGAATAATAGCAGGGATCAAGAAGGAGCACCCTGGCAGCAGCAAGGTCTCAAGCTTCCTCCAGCTAAATGCATTCAAGATTGCTTGGTACTCGACTCTTCCTTGAGGGAGTGGATTCCCCAAAACACAGGGGGTAACAGAAATGCTGCATTTGTCAGTTAAGCAGTTTCTTCTATCACTTTCTCCATTCAGAAAGGCACCTCCTCTCCTCTCTATCTTCCAACAAGATCTCCCCCTTGGATATGGGTAAGTGACTTGACCAAGACAACCAAGGAACAGGAATCTTCCAAGAGAGCTGAGGAAAATGCAAGCTCCTGCCGACCCACAACGTGCACCCACATTTCCCACACTGCGCTGCTTGCCAGCGTTTTCAGTTACTGCTTTTCGTGCTTCTCCCACAGCCACATGTCCACCACCGCGGCACACCTTCAGTTACAAGCCGGGCTTGGGATTCAATTTCTCAAAACCCAGCCCTGGTCAGAAAGCCCCAGTCACAGCATGCAACTGTCTGACCCCACTTCTGCATTCCCTGATTTTAGGAACTAAGGGAGAGGAGAAACAGAAACTGAAAGAAACAATTTTTCAGAAATTGCTCCTTCCTTTCCCACCATTAGTATGTTCTGCATTTGAGGTTTGTACCTCAAAGTTCCAAGCGCAGAGCCTGGGACATGAAGGACTCTTTCAAGGCTGGTAAGGTCGCTGAACATCTGAACATGTCGGGCAAGCGATTAATCTCTACAGTCAGTCTGAGACCCCAGGCTCCACATGGCAGATGAGATGGGAGCCCATCCTCTCCTGAAAGATGAGGACAGAGACAGGAGCTCAGCCTACCAGCCCTTCATTTCCTGCCCCAATGAAGAAAACTCCTGGAAAACACGCTCTCTGGGGGAAGAGAGAACTGGACCAGAATATCTTAAGGGGGGGCTCGTGAAATATAGCGTGACAAATACAGCATGATCCTGAGGATTGTGCTGGTCATCTCAACTCACCAAGACATGTCCATGGGCCACAACACCACCACCTGCAAGTGTCTCGTCTCCTCCACCTTGCACAATCTGCCCTTGACCAAGCCACCAACATAACCTTGCTAAACAGAGATCTGGCTAGGTCTCCCTCCACTGAGAGCCTTCCGTGCAAACCCGTCACACACTGTGCAGAATAAACCCCTAAAATCCCTGCTCAACCTTCAGTTCCCTTCACCTCAGTTTCAGCAATGTCAAGAAAGAAAGCTGAAGCTGGGCATGGTTGCAGATGCCTGCAATCCCAGCATTCTGGGAGGCTGAGGCAGGAGGAGCACAAGTTAAATCCCAGCCTGGGCAACTTAGCAAGACACTACCTCAAAATTTGAAAAGGACTGAGGACTTAGCTAAGTATGAAGGCCTTGAGCTCAATCCCTAGTACCACAAAAAAGGAAGGAAGCAAGCAAGCAAGGAAAGAATGAGGGAGGGAGGGAAAGAGGAAGGAAAGGGAAAATAGCTCAGCTCTAGGTACTAGGAGGACAAGCAAGGAGGCAAAGAGCAGCAGGCAGCCTCTCTAGCAGCAAAAGGAGGCACTGAGTAGGCCCTCACCCCTGCTCACCTCCTGCCCCAGCACACACAACACCTCAGGAGAACAGAGGGAAATTACTGTAGGAAACTGGGAGAGAAAAGAGCAGAAGAACAGCTCCCATGGGGGCATTTGTTCTAACTACCAGCTAATGGCCCTGCCTAGAACATCCCCTCAGAAGCCACGGTGCAGGTCTCAAGGCTCGGGCCATTCCAACAAGACCTGGGCTATTCCTAGGACAAGGGGAACTGGGCTATTTCGACCTCAGAGCGACCTCAGAGCACCAGCCTGTATAACCTAAGGAAGTCGGCTCACACTGGAGACACAGCCCTCGCCATTCCCAGTCACCCAGCATTTCACACTTTCTCCACGTGCTCAGGAGGGTCAAAGAGCACCTTTCCCAGTGTGCATTCACGGGCAGAGATCGACAGGCTTGGAAAGACTGACTGAGAACCCAGTTCCAAGTTCCACCCCTGGTTCCCACAACTGGGCACCTACTAGATTCTGCACTCCAGAGTTGTGTTGGTTTCCCAGGATTGTGATGTCATCTCTCCTCCAGACACCTGCGCCTTCACCCATCAGGGATACAACACCCCTGCCACCTTAGAACAAATACCACCCCCAGTCTTCTAACAGCCAAGGGCTTGCTAGAGGGGTCATAGCTTACACTTCCCGATGGCTGGCTGCTCTTGAATAGAAATCATTAGCACTCTCTCTCTCTCTCTCTCTCTCACACACACACACACACACACACACACACATATAAACACGTAAACACTAAGAGTCATATTATCCACCAACGCACTTCAATCTAGAATTCTGGCTTACCTCAAAAATTATCAGCTCTCATGTTTGTGAACTGTACAACCTGTCACAACTTCTTTTTGGACTAATCAAAGCCAACAGGAGGCTGGGGATTTAGCTCAGCGGCAAAAGCGCCTGCCTGGCAAGCGCAAGGTCGTGAGTTCGGTTCCCCGTACCGGAGAAAAACCAAAAAAAACAAAAAAAAAAAAAAAAAAAAAAAAAAGCCAACAGAACAATTAAAACAATATATAACGGGGTATATTCAAACTACATTTCTTCTCCTCTCGAATATATCCTAAGGACACCTTCCAAATTAATTTCTTCTGTTCTAAAGTTTCCAATCTCTTTTCCTATTAGAGAAAAAGGTTAATTTCCCATCCCACCCCAAATCACACAAAACACTTTCAAATATTTGGAGGCCTGAAAACATATCTGTTGCTCATGAGGAAGACGGCAGCTGTTTAACTCAAGGCAGGCCACAGACGGCCAATATTTCACATCCCCAATCTGGCACCACGGCTACTCCTCCCATGGCCCTCCACAGGTAATAATTTAAGCCGAGGTGGCACAGCTGCCTTTACATTGGCCCAAACCACCTTCCAGATGTGCAGTAAGCCCCTATAATTACCACTTTCATCCATCTTGATGATTTAAATGCCTACAAAGGCAAAATAATAAAAGAATGTATATATTTTTACAAATTGGTATTCTCTGTCATCCTCCCAAAACAATCTTTTATGTCTCGTATAAACAGAACCAATGGACAAATAGAACCAATGAACTATCTGGTGACTTAGGGGCGGGGGGTTGTACGTGGTAGGCACATGTTTGTACCACTGAGCTATAACCCTAGCCCCTGATTTTCTCTTTATCCACTTAAACCCTAAGCTCTTTAAGTATAATATAAAGGACAAAGGAGAAAACTTCAGCAGATCATTAACATTTATGGGTTTAACAACAGCTATGCTTTTGCTAGTGTACACATACCTCTAAAGATATCAAGCAGATGTACACGTACCTCTAAACTCATCAAGCTGAACACCCTGCACACAGGTAGCTCTTTTCTATGTTCACCACATAAAAGCCTATGCTCTTTCCTGTGGTATTAAAAAACAAATATCCAGACTTTTTTTGAATGATCATACCTTACATCATTTTTATGCAACTTATTTTTTCTTTGAGATAGGTATAGACCTAGTTAATGAAAATAATCGCTCCCACTGAAAGAATTTGCAACAAAACTTTGTAGGGAATTTAAACAATGCAACTAATGCAGTGCAAGGCACCACAGTTAGTGCAATGAGGAATAGGAAGTCTGTGTCTGGTTCGGGACTTCTAACTCAAATGAACTTCTAACTATAATGCAATTTAAGGCATCTCTCTATTTACTATAATAAATACCATTACTAATTAAAACACAACACAGAATGCTTGGATAGAGAGCATAGATCAAGATAGAGACATGAAACATAGAAGCCTTTTAAACTTTTTTTTTAAGGTATTAAGTTTCTAGTTGAGTTTATAACTTGCCGAATCTGTTTCACTTCTTTCTTACTTTTCCCCTTTAGTTTACATGTATTAACCTAAAGCAATACGAGTCCAAGTTTAGGATGAGAGGAAAACCTTATTTCCTCAAAAAATTTAAGCAGATTGTGAAACTCTGAGTCACATTATCTTTTTACAAGAATTTTCCCACGCCTGTGTTTAACAAGAATTAGATGAAAATTCAAATTTGAGTCTCTTTATCTTATAAGAATTTTTTTTCTCATCCTTGTCTTTAAGAACAAGAGACACTTGCAAGTGCAAGTTTTCTTTCCTCTTCTTAT